TGTTCGCGTCGAAACACAGCGGGAAGCGCCACTTGCCAATTGACCAGGATGGCCTCACCCGTGCTCCAGTCGCCCGACCTCCTCGTGGCGATCGCATCGTATCAAGAAGGACTACCGGAAGACTTGGCCATCATCCAGCGCCTCGCCGACGCCGTCGACCTCACGCCGTGCTCGTCGTTTGCAAATTGTAACCAAACGGGGTACCTCGCCAACATCCCAGCCCGGTTCGCGTCGTTGCCGTACCTCCAGCGGTATCCACACCCATCGACCAAGCTTCCTCACCACGCGCTCTTCGTCTCACCGCGTGTTTACGACCGTGCTCTCGCGCTCCATCTCTCGATCGTCGAAGGCGACGTGGCGCTCGTCCATCGCTGGCTGCGATGGGATCCCTCGTTGTGCACGGCGGCGACGCTCGAGCTTGCTGCTGCTGCGTCCCAAGGTCCAATGTTGCGTCTTTTATTGGCGCAGTTTCCAGCGCTGGCCACTGCAAAGATGATGGACCTCGTCGCCATGTCGGGCGACCTCGAGCTTTTGATATGGCTTCACGAGGCAGGTGCTGCGTGCACGTCGGCGGCAATGGACGGTGCGGCTATGAATGGTCACGACGACGTTGTCATTTTCCTGCACTCGATGCGCACCGAGGGCTGCACGATTGTGGCGGCGACAGCGGCAGCGGTTCACGGTCATGCGTCGATCGTGCGATTTCTTCTCGAGCGGCGCACCGAAGGCATTCAGCCGTCGCTCCGATTCAAAGTGCCACACGGCGAGCACACGACGCTCAGCGTCTGTAGCTCGACCCATCTCGAGGCCGTCGACCTTGTTGCAGCCACCGTAGAGCTGACGGACGCAGCGTTCAAAACAATCGCGAAGACAGCGGGTCTAATGGCGCTGCAGCACGTCTACACATGTGGGTACCTAAAGAAGATGACCAAGCCGTTGCTCGAGCTCGCTGTCGCCACGCAAGACCACGCGATGCTGCGCTACGTCCTTGGCTGCATCGACCACGAGAACCCGCGAGCTCCCAGTGACGGCGAGTGGCTCCCACCGGACGCGCCAAGAGAGACCGTATCCATAGAGTCACTTCGCGATGGTGTCAGTCCATTCGATCGGTGGGAACACTGCAACGTGATGGAGCTCGCGGCGTTGAACGGTGACATGACGTCGCTGAAGCTTTTGCACGAAAGCCGCCTTCGCGTCGGATCGAGCCGAGCGATCGTTTACGCGGCCTACCGCGGTCACATGGACGTGCTCGAATGGCTGCACAAGCACCGGAGCGACGGCTGTGACGAAGACGCGATGGCACTCGCCGCCGCCCGCGGCCACTACGACGTCGTGCGCTGGCTCCACGAGGTATACGGGCTTTGGCGGACCCACGCCGCCTTGGCCACTGCGGCGTATACAGGCCACCTCGCGATGGTGATGTACCTCTTGGACGTACCGACGGGCGGCGTCGACACGTGGACTGACCCAGCCGACGAGAATAGTGGCCTTGGAGCGATTTTGCCGGCGCGAGATGGCTATCTTGGCGGCTCGTGGAGCGACTACGTCCGAGGGTCGGCGGTGTACTGGGCAGCGAGCCAAGGCCACCTCGAGATCCTTCAGCTGCTCGTCGCCCGCGGCCACGAGATGCCACCGACAGCAATGAATGAAGCCGTGGAGAACGGTCACTTGCACATCATGCGCCACCTTCATGAGAGTTTTGACCAGCGCTGCAACCGCCGATCGATCGTGGACGCTGTCTTGAAGCACCAAATTGACGTTGTCGCGTACGTACTCTCCCACCACTGCTGGCAACGCGGTTCACCCATGTTGGACGACGAAGAAAGCGACATCACCTTGCACATGCTGCTTGTGGCCACCGCACGCAGCGGTCGCCTCGACATCTTGGAGCTCGTTTGCGGTGCGTTTCCCATCCATTTACCAACGCAGCTGCCGCGTCGCGTCTCGGAGCGCATGATGATCCGCGCAGCGTCCTACGGCCATCTCGGCATGCTCCAGCATTTGCACAACGTCTGTGGCTTTAAATGGACGTCGGTGGTCCAAGAAGCAGCAATCCGTCGCGGCCGTAAGAAGGTATTGCGCTACTTGAGCACGCTCGGGCCCGCCGACACCTCCGTCTACGACGTCGACGATCGAGATTTGTGGCGAGAAATGAATGACTTTATCGTCTCGATGACGGTAGTCGACGGCCACTGGCGCGCGAGATCCATGTATAACTGAGCTTGCTACTGTAAGGAATCATTCAATTGAACAACATGTATGGCTGGACTTGTCAGTGTTACCCGAACACATCCGCGTCACCATGCCAATGTACAAGTTGTCACACTTTTGCATGTTCCGTTGCGGAAGCGCGCCGCCAGTTTGTACAATTACGTAGATGGTGCCAAGGACATTGTGGAGAGCTTGTGGCATATTATTATGGGGACTCAATGTTCAATAATCGGTCATCACCGGCGCCGGCCGGGAAAATCAATGCGATACTGTAGCTGGTGCGACTCGAGTCGCACCTTGCGATCGGACAATGAATTGTGCGTGAGGAAACCATCATTCATGCAATAACGTTACATGTACATGAAGGTCATCATTACACATGTACTCAGTACATGTGTACCTTCAAGCGCGCCATCATCGTGAGCTGCCATAAGGTCAAATCTCGTCTATTCCAGGGCTGTACCCACGACGCCGCCGTGGTGCTCAAAATACCTTTTTACCGGATTTAGACATGGTGAAGCGCGCGTCGCGATCAGCGCCATCGCCTTTTGCCCCGGCGGCATCAGCTTTTGCCCCCGCGCCGCCGCCTTTTGCCCCCGCGCCAACGGTACATATCAATCTCGTCTTCATCGCATCCAACCGACTCTGTAGAGCCCGTACCAGGTACTGCTCGAGGGATTCCGCAACGGCACAATCCCTCAGGACCTTGACGTTGACGCGAAGCTCGACGACGTATGTATCTCATTTCTTGGCAGAGAGCTCATTTCGACGTTGTTGCCATCTAGCTTGGCGGCACCCCTCTGCATGTGGCCGCTATGGCCGGCAACGTGACGGTCCTCGACGAGATCGCATCGCGCGCACTCGACATCAACGTTCGCGATCGGGTACTGTTCCAAGACGTCCAAGACGGTTCTCACCTCGCTTGCGTCGGCTTGCCATGTAGATGGGTCGCACGGCACTGGCGATCGCGGTGGCCTACGATGATCGCGCCCGTGTCGACTGCCTCGTCAAGCACGGCGCACTCGTCAACACACGCGACCAGGTACGAAGCAAAGAATGCGAGTGTACTGCGAGCAACACATCGGGGTGTAGAATGGGTCGAGTCCGCTCCACGACGCCATTTGCTATCGCAGAATTGACATGGCACGACAGCTCATTGCGGCCGGCGCTGACGTCAACGAAGTTTTCAGGGTATGACACTCAACTCCATGCAGTAAATGTACAGCCCCTATTCATCCGGTGCAGGACAACCGTACGCCACTCTACGCTGTAAGCAAGAGCGATTCGGACGATTTTGCGAACGCGCTCATCCCCGCTCTCATCGCCGCGGGGGCCAACGTCCAAGATGCCATGACGGTATTGCCTTGACCGCAGTTCTGGTTCTCATCATACGAAGTCTGGGTTTTGCCAAGTCGGCTGGTCCGACATCAAGGTGGACCGCGTGCGGCTCTTCTTAGCCCATGGCGCGCGCTTCGCCGACATGCCTCCGATTGTACGTCGTATCTCTCTGTCTGGCTGACGTGGGACTTTGTGATTACAGCACAACGACTCGATGGTTGTCCAAATTCCGTACTTGCAGCTGTACCTTGAACAAGGCGGCAATCCCAACAAGCAAGACGAGGTACAGAATGCATATCCCATCAAGTGACGTACTGGACACGGCGTAGACGAGCATTATGCCGCTTCTGTACTATGCTCTCGCAAAGCGATCGTGGAAGGCCGTCGAGCTTCTAGCACCAGTGGCCGACATCAACTTTATCGACTACGCGACTCCGATTCCCCACTGGCGCGCGTCATTGAAGTATTCGACCAAGGCGTGCGTCGATATGGCGCCGCTAAGCCAGGCCATCAACAACAACCTCGACACCGCACTGCTTGAGCAAATGCTGCACCACGCTAGCGTCCCGCCGCCAGAGGTGACTACAATCTGTGATTGCAGCTCCTTCGACCATTTTGGCTCATGCAACATCTCTGCTAGTACTATGTCAAGGCGTTCAAGATGGCACTTGAAGCCAAGAGCGCGTCCAACGTGGCGCTGCTCGCATCCAAGGTCGACCTCAAGTCCGAGGTATGGTCACCGTATAGTCACCGAGTGTGATCAAATTCGCCTGCTAGTGCTTTCTTCACTACGCGGTCCGCAACCCCGACTTTGTGGCGGTGTTGTTGGAACTGGGCGCAGATCCCAACCAGCGCGACCAGGTATGAACACAATGCTAGGACTACTGTGACATACCAAATGCTGGGCGTATTAGTACGGTCGTCCGCCACTGCTCGGTGCCTGCGAACTGCAAGAAGAGACCTCGGCACGCATCCTGCTGCCCCACACGACCAACTGTGACATTCCTGGCTACGTACGCCGCAATCTGCATTGAGACCACGGACTCACTCTGTCTGTAGTCTGCGCCACTCTTCGAGTATATCGCAAACTCCGGTCTTCGCGGCCTGGCCAGAGATATCGCGCGTACCGTCTTGGCAGCAGAATCGGCGCCACCGCTGCACAAAATCTTTTGGCAGCCATGTGTCGAGGATTCGATCCACTCACCACTTACATGCTCCATCTGGTGTTATGCACCGGATCGCGCGAGTGCCTATGCCAAGCTCGAGCTCGAGTACATGGCAGCTCTCTGCACGCTCCTCGACGAGCCGTTCTGGTGGAAGAAGGAGCCTCTGCCGACCCTCCCGCCTGGTGCCTTCATGGACGATACAGCCGTCATTCATGGCGAGCTCCAACTCATTCGCGACATGGCTGTGCGTCCCCTTGGCCTCGTGCCCAACACGACCCGCGGTGTGTACCATGCCGACGACGCGCTCTCGGTCGACTTGCTCTCGTCGCTCGGCCATCATCTGGCGCCGCTCGAAGCTGAAGCGTCCTGGGCTGACAACGTCTTGGAGGTCGTCGATCCAGCCATGTACGGCGCAGTGTATGGCCAATCTCGCTTCAGTCTCGACCCGCACAACATGCGTGTCGGAACCTCTCCAAGTGCCATCGTCCGACATGAGGTGCCTCCGTCAATGGAGCTCGCAGACGCCGTGTGCCCGCACCTGCAGATGCTGCCGACACCGGTGACGTGGGACCCCTCCTCGCGCCAAGTGACGTTGGAGAGCTACGTGAACAACATTCATCCGTCGCAGTCGGCGCTCTATACGGTGCTGGCCGAGACACTCTCGACGGTGCTACCCTTGCTGGATGC